TATATAGAGCCATCATGTGCAATAACATTTGAAAAATATTTAAGTTTCTATAATTACGCTTATCAAAATATCGCATCAAGTGTGTCGTGAAGGCACTACGCAATCAGGAACACAGCCCACGCGTGGGCCCACGCCACCAAATATCGATCCCACGTAGTGATTTCAATAACTACTGTAGTACCAATTCAATGACTAAAGTAATGATATAATTTGGTGAACACGTGGGTTGGTAAAAATGTTGTCGAATTTACATATTCAGTGTTAATGCTTAGCAGGTTGATACGATCGTCTAATCTCTAATAGATTATAAATAGTGTTATATTTTGACGGTGAAAAAGCCGTGAAGAAACCAGGTCAGTAACAACTGGTTCAAATGCTTTTTGTCCCATAGGAGGAAAGAAACAGCAGAAATATCAAAAAAAAAATCGTAGAAATATTTTTAAAAAATGTATAAAGAGAAATTATTTCTCTTTAAATAATCTAGAAAAATGTCCGCGACAGTATGTCTATCTTTAAAGATTAACTCGCCAGAACGACGGGACGCGGACGATGTCGAGGGTTTATAAAGATGAATGATGAAAAAAATAAATATTCCACGTAGGCACAACTAGTGATTATGTATCAGATGTGAAAAGTCGTACCAAGAATTTAAAAATAGGTATGTACTTCAGTTTGTAAAACGAGACTCGAAGTCCCAACTAACAGTTCTCGACTTTAATGAATGAGCTTTCATACCCTATCCATGGAATTTCTCAATCCTTTTATACATTCATAACCCAATAACTCACTAGTACTAATGTCGTTGAAACCTGTCCCCGAAAACAAATAGTTCGACACCGCGAATCGATGCGCGTGGGCACTAACGCGCCACATCCGGCGAAGCAAGGCTGTACTTAAAATAGTCACAACAGCTTACAACAAATGGAAGCTTAACGGTAATTACAAGATTTGTGCCTAAGTGTTAATTTACCACGAAAAATATTGATTGATAAAAAAATCTAAATTATTCGTACACATATGAGAAGGTACCAAAATGGCAGATTTTATATATACCACACCAATGCAAGGACGACTACAATAAAACCCAAAACATGTATCAATAACCAAAACTTCATTTGCAGGCTAAAGACATTCATATTCAATGGAAAATGACAAAGTATACACAAAAATGTATCCAAAATTAGACACGCACTTACTTCAATAGGCGGTTAGGTTTTTACCGTTACGGTTTTAAGTACACTTTTAACGGTTCAAGATGCATGATATATAATATGCTAAAGTAATACTGCTATCAACTAAAATAGCGGTAGTGCAGCAGTTTTTAACTTTAATATCAAGGATCACCCCTCGCCGACCACGGCTACAGCAAAACATCCAAAACGTCGGGCTGTAGTTAAAATAAATAATTATTATTACATTTAAAATGATTTTTCTTTTATCTCTACTACTCGATTTTTTTATAATTTTGTATAGGTACTTCAGTTTTAATATTATTAATAATGTAAAAGCGAAAAACGCGTACATTTCTGTAACTGTTTAGTTTGGTTCAGAGTGCAGTTAAGGATAACCTTTATTGTTTAATTAGATGGTAAACGATAAGCGACTTCGATAGATAATATCTCCTGTCTTGTAGATGCAAAGATAGGGCTTGATCGTTATCGATAAATTTGTTAAAACAAATTATTAAACTTATGAGTCGATAAAACTTAGATGCCTTAGGACACGTCAATTCGCATCTTATAAAGCATCCAAGAGTGGCGAACTAATGAATTTCACGTTCTAATCCGGTAAAAATGTTAAAATAATGAATTTTTAAACTGGTCTGATAACCCCATTTAAGAAAAATTCACGAGCTTTTAAAAAGTGTAACTATGACCAACGAAAAACAACGATTACTTTTAACACTTTAAACGGTTCAAAACGCCGTCCGACAACGGTCTCCCCGTGAGCACGGCTGTTGCAAAGCATCTGAAACGTCGGGCCGTAGTTAAAATAAGTTTAACTAATACATATCGCGTTTTAAACCGTTAAAGTGTTTAATTTAAATGTGAACTACTCGCGAAAACAACAGATAGTATTTAACGATTACTTTCTTAAATTATTAATAGAATAAATAACTTTAGCGCGTAAATATTATCGATAGCCTAGCGTCACTATTAATCTTATCAATGCAGTGATATTTCACAAGCATTAAGATAATCGACGCTGGCTTCTGTAAACAATCGCCTTATCTCTTCTCGGAGTAACAGATTCCTCAAGAAGATAAACCAGATAACTGGGCGATTTCCTTGAACCGTTTGGCATTTAAAATAATTATTCAGAATTTAGATTAGATGAAGTGATGAATAGCAGAGTTCCTAATAGATTTCACAATATTTTCCGCTTATATTTGACATCTATGAGACTATAAACTGAAAAAAAAATGACTGGGGCAGGAAATGAAGCTACATCCACAGCGTTCCGTACTCTTGCTCTAACCAATTGAAAGTTTAAAACTACGATAGTATAACCTATCGAGAAAAGTTTAATGAAATCTTAAAGGGAAATTAAACTAAACTAAAGAAAAATATTTCATTTAAATTGTAAGTATCCTTAATTAAACTCGAAAAACAAACGACACACATTCTTTAACTTATCGTAAAATACCATTATTTTACAAGAATTCTCAAATATAGTTAGTTATTCTCATGTCAGCAGGCATTTTTTTTTCTCCCTTGTTTAATTTTTTAAAGGATAGTAGAGCAATATCGTAACGAAACGATTATTGTTTTACCAGGAATCAAACCAACACTCTTGTCTTACATAATAAGCAAAGCATTAAGACCCATAGATCAACTTTAGTATGATAAGACAATTATTATAACATGGCTATTTAACCCATGGGTCAGTCCTACGTCCCGAATATGACCCAAAAATGCCCCTGATCTATCGTAATCAAATCTCATTAATGCCAATTGCTCTAAATGAGAAAGTTCGTTAAGTTCGCTTATGGAGCTGAGAAAACGGAGTGCAAAATGATTTGGAAGTTCAAAATTTACACACTTAAATGTCTGTAAACATCAAGTAAAGGTTTTACATATTTTAATGTACATGAGAGCTTATATTCATTTAATATGAAAGGGTTTCGAACCCACGATATACGCCTCTATAAATAAAAGAAAAAAATATATAGAAACACGAATTTCAAATTATACTAATATATTTATTGACACGGGATAGAAATGATAAATTAATCTAACTATTTTATATAGAGATTAGAAAACCATATTGGCGCCGTAACGCGTTACGTAACGAAGTGAGTGTTAACAGGTAGTTTAAATAGACTTGTAAATAAATACTTAACTCGTAAGTTTTTCATTTACACAATTACAAATTCAACAATTTTGTTTCATAATATTGGTTATTTGTTAAAGGTTACATATAAATTTATCTCATTTACATAACAAAGCTAAACAGCAGACGAAAATCGTTTTAGTATTGCTTAAAGAGCTGTAGTAATTCGTACAAGCGTTCCTTTGTTAACAAATGCAAAATGTAACGTCAGGAGATAACGTAACGCGAAACGTTTTGTCGTCTTTATTACTTTGTAACCGACTTAATAGTGACAGCTTTTGTGTGGGATATTAAATAGATACGAATTATGACTTCTTTTCAGCGTATGATTCAATTTACTGGGTCTTAAATTTAATTACATTTTTATCTGAGGGACAAAATATGTTATCCCCTCCTTAAAGCGCGTCTTGCTCTCGATTTCTGAAGATTAGCGACTCAAACCGAGGGAGACTATTAGTAATAATCAAAAGAAATTATGTGGCTTATTAAAAAAAGGTTTCATATTATACCTATTATCTTTTGAACCTTTTAAAGCTCTACTTCAGAAATCATTTCTCAATTATAACAAGTATTCGCATTCAATTCAAATCAATTGCTTTCAAAAGACGAATTCTAAACAAACAAACGTGGTTTTTACTCAAACATCGCTTTTGTAAATCAAATGCGCGTGCGCAGCGGCTGTCACGTTGCGCGGGAGCACCGCCATTCAAACACGACACATTAATAAATCCAAGTCCCCTCGAACAAGGGAAATCTCTATCTCCATTGAACTCCGGAAAAGGACATTTTGTATCCAACCTCCAACTTTGTAAGCAATGTACAGCTAACAATAGCAATTTGTAGTTTTGTTTAAGGACCGTCAGATGACAGTGACATCTTATGAACGTAGCTTGGAGGTGGAAGGTCGGAAACGTGATCTTAATACATAGTTTATGAGTAAAATGTATTTTTGGATGCTGTAGAATTAGTCGGCTATTTGTACTTGTCTTATTCCAACTGTGCTGGTAATTTTCTTAGTAAGTAAACCTTGCGCTTGCGCATATAAAAAAAGGTGGAAGCTGTACAATTCGGTTATTTATATCAATCAATCTATCAGTATGTCGATGTGAGTAATATGTACGTTTGATAGATCACAACTCAAAGGATCATAAATTAAGAAGTTCAGAAGGCGCCAAAGCGGTATATGTCACAAGTGCTTTGTGATAGAAGTATTCAAGAAAAAATATCTATACTATTTGTGTTGATTAGAGCATTTACTGAGGAAGGCTATAAAACATCGCGCTGCGACTCATAGGAGCGAGGAAACAACGGGACATGTAGAAAAATGGGGAACATTATTCGTCCTAGTGGATTTTCCAGATACACAAAATGTATGAAAGAATGATTCCTCTTTTAGTGATCTTAAAAAAATGCCCGTGACAATATATGTCATATTTTAAGATGAAGTCTGAAGAATGATGGGATGTGACCAAAGTTGTGGGTAGCAACCAAAATTTATAAAATAAAGAGGAGTTAATGTCGAAAATAGTTACGCGGAAGAAGCCGCCGACACAACTAGTATCTAATATAACTACGCGACACTTTACAAGAACCAATGGTAACTCTTTAACGTAAAAATTATTGAATAAACAATAATTAAATTACAGTAATGCAGAAAAAAAACTCACTTCTATTCTTGTCAAACTCCATGAGATCGCACATTTGTAGTGGGTTGGTGAGGTCTTCAGCTGTGAATCCTCTGCTTGTGGGTTCGCAGCGGTATACAGCACCAGGTCGCTTCACACCAGTCACGCGGTAAGGCTCATCCTCTGGAGCACCAACTAAGATCCTGAGGACAATGAATTATAGATTTTACTACAAGTAAATACTGTCTATAGTTTACGCGAGTTATAGATTTTTATTAAAACACTTCAACGGTTTGAAACGCGATATATTAGTTAAAGTTATTTGAAATTGATTTTTAACTTCAGCCCGACGAATCGGATGCTTTGCAGCAGCCGTGGTCGCGGGGAGACTAGATAAACTAACTAATATATCGCGTTTTGAACAGTTACAGTGTTTTATTTAAACAAATTAACTATTTCTATACATAATTACGGGAATAAAATAGAAACGTGGCAAATTGATATAATACTTAATACTGTTTGTAGTCTCTCCGTGACCACGGCTGCTGCAAAGCATCCGAAGTCTCGGGCCGTAGATGAAATAATTTTAATAAAGGTTAACTAATATATATCGCGTTTTAAACCGTTAGTGTTTTATTTAAATTATGTAAACAAAAGCCAAAACAAATTTCCTTTTTTTGTCAGTAAATTTATCATTATTTATATTTGTAACGAGAACCACGTAATTACTACGATTACATCGGGCCCTTTGTCATGATAATCCTGCGCATAGAATAAGGTCAGACAATCGCAAGCTTCTGGCGCATTGCCAAGTCTCAAATAGACCGGGTTCAATCCCCGATCGCGACGCGCCAAATCGTATTTGCGTATCTGTGATTCAGTCATCGCAAATCCGTAGTTTATAGAGGAAGTCTGCTGAAAATCAGCAGGACATTTGTGCTGGGAACTCGCTGTAATGAAATGTAGTGTCGATGGTAAACATCAAAGGATACATTCATAGTTTAACATCCATTTACTATATTATGTATAGTATGTACAATATCTAATATATTGTTTAAAGTATGTATCTAATTTTTCTACGATATTACGAAAAATATTACTAACTAACTACTTACACTAACTGTTTAAATCGCGATATATTAGTTAAACTTATTTGTAAATGATTTTTAACTTTGGCCCGACGTTTCAGTTGCCTTGCAGCAGCCGTCTCGAGACCGTTTAAGTATTTTATTTAAATGTGTACTACTCGCGTAAACAATAGACAGTATATATGAAATACTTAAATACACTAAAACAAAGCAAAATTAAATTGAATACTGTCTATAGTTTAAGGGAGTACTAGATACATAAATTAAACACTTTAACGGTTTAAAACGCAAAATATATTAGTTCAACTTGTTTACCAAGAAACGTTGGGCTGTTTTTGAAATTTCCGAAAAAAAACCTGTAAACAACTAAAATCAAATAACCTTTTAAAAATATACCAAACAGTTATGTTTAATCTCAGCTAGAACCACTGTTAGTTGTAAAATCTATTTTATAAAGATTACTCTCCGTATTTCAAACGAAACACCTCTTGCTATCGCCCGTGACACACGGCGACAAAGATATTTTCGTCACCGGAAGAAGGGGATATTTTAAAGCCCATAATACCGTCTAATACACGCGAAAGACTGGAAAATTAAGAACATCAGTAAAGTAAAAACTTGGCGTATTTAACGCTGTTTCTGTAAATTAGAAATTATAATGCTCACTGGGCGTTTTTTTTTTCACTGTTTATATGTAGTGAAATCTCGTCAATCTGTCAAATAAGCGAATGAATTTTCGTTTACTTAAATATATAATTTTTTATACCATACAAATCTCTGTTATAGTGTAACAGAATATTTACAAACGGCTCATGATATAGCACAACGCAGGAAATTTCAATATGCTACTTTGCAAAAAAGAGCTAATTATGTAAGCAAATATTCCTTCCTTCTATATATTCATATCTCTTAAAGTGATGTACGAGATATGTTTTTAACAGCACAGGATAGAACAACTACAGCACAAGAAATATTATCTTGTTTTTTCTCAATACTTATAAGTACTAAATTTGAGCCATTTGTGTAATTAGACTAATAATATAACTATTCGTCTATAGTCTTATTACCCATATTTTTACGTAAAATTTTAATAAATGCTTAATAAACTAGCTTTATAAAAACTATTTTACTGTAATCCTTTATATCTCTTAATTTTATTTATAGTACTAGTCCTAGTTAACAGCCGTATAGCCAAACCGAATCGTGACTAATTGAGACATTCTGGGACCCATAAAGGGCACGCCCTATGTACGGCCAAGGTAGGTTAGTTATCAGAGATCTACTGTCTATATTATAGGGAATTTCTGCAAGTCACGATGGCTGTAAGGATTAGATTGTTGAGCTAATAACATATCTTAATTTGTTCTAGTTGTGTAAGTAGCTGTTCTTTTTATGTGTATTAGAAAAGGAGTTATTGATAAGAACTCGTTTTAAGATTGAATGTTTGAAATATTCAACGTAAGTTTTTTCATTCATTTCATTTAATACATCGCGTGCAATATGTAAAAGAAAGAATATTTTGTTGATTACAAAAAAACATGTTATAAAAAATTATTAAACTTAACTTATATGTAGTCTTCATCTATCAAAAAAGCTTGTGTGAAAAAATAAAGATGGCGATTCAGTTTTTAGATACAGGGGGAGGGGTTACATTATTTTTTTACAAAAGGCATTCAGTCAAACAACACAAAAAACTAAGAAAACTTCTAAATTAAAGAAAAAAACAAGAACACTGTTGCTAACCACAATTAGCAACGACACTGAAGTTGATTATGACGAATTTAGTCCACTCATCAGAATATTGGACATGCCTAATCTGTCTCACCAATTAACACGACACACTGCGTCTGCGCAGTGCCTATTCATTTCATTCCAGGAACAATAAGATTTGTTGACGCATGTCGGATACTATCTTGTACTAAGGTGTTTTTAAAGAGACTGCTACAACTAGGAAGTTTTTTTTATAATAGAAGACAAGTTCGGTGTTCATTTGATGGTAGGTGAAATACCCTTTGGATATTCGGAAATCCAAAGACTGAAACCGAGACGCGATTACACTTGACGGCTTTTTTATCTATGGACGGTGATTCCCCGATTTCCAGACGAAGGCAAAAAAAATTCAAGAAAATTATAAATTTATTATAAAAATATTGGACCTGGTTGAAATCGAACCTACATCCCGTTAATTATCAAACAAACATTGCTACCGTTGCACTAACAAGCCCGTCGACTGATAAGTCAGTCTAAAAATAATTATTCTAAAGATCTAGACTGGATTCTGTTATTTTGTGAAAATTCTTTGGCTTGTGTACATACATATGTAAATATTCACACAAGAAACAATGCAAAGATAATTCGTATCACACTAATTGTTTGCGCGGTTGTGTAAGTAGCACATGTCAGGTGGTAAACGTGATAAGATCATGTGGGATGTGTTCTCGACCTATTTTCTGCGCATTCTTGAAAATTCCACAGGTAAAATTTACACAATCATTTTTCCACAGTCATCACGATAACCGAGACTAAAAAATGAATTAAGAAAATTGTATGTATCGAAAATGAACATAAGGACGTTACTTAGTCATTTTCCAACGGAGACAAAGCTAACAAATCAAAATCCATGATAATTAGTCTAGCTTTTTTTAAGTTATACATGTTCAAACGAACCCCACTTTATTTTAAGTTTATTAGAATGAACAAGTATTTATGTCTGTGAAAGTCGCGAGGTATTCTTCATTTTTCCTTGTCAGAAGAATTCCAATCGCCGCACTAACATTTTGTCTGATCCGGAATTCGAACTCCGGACCTCGCTATCCGCTACCGAGTATACAGTTAAAGTGAAAAGACAGTACTTATAACCTTTAAATTTAACATTTTTACCGGAACGTGAAAAATAGTAACTCATTTTCAACGTACGCAAACATCGTCAACGGTCACTAAGAGATAAGTTAACTAAATATTCGCAATTTAAACAGTCAATAAGGATTAAATAAAACACTTTAACGGCTATACATATATATTTTTAACTTCAGCCCGACGTTTCGGATGCTTTGCAGCAGCCTTGGCCACGGAGTGACCCCGGTGTCTAAAAATCACTTTCAAATAAGTTTAACTAATATATCGCGTTGTAAACCGTTAAAGTGTTTTATTTAAATGTGTACTACTCGCGTAAACTATAGACAGTATTGAGTCAATATGGTTTTATCTCAGTACACACGTAAAAAATACAATATAGTATTAATAATAATTTACAGTCAGCAACATAGTTATACCGTGCGTTTTTGTGGCGTCTCGGGTTCAAATTCTTGACCTTCGTAAGACGAGCGGTGATAACACGAGACTCACAATGAACTTTATGAAGTATGCACTTATGCCTTCAGCGATACACTCTTGACTTGTATGTCTGTATGTTTAAATAAAACACTTTTAAAGGTTTAAAACGCGACATATATTCTTTTTTTTAATTACGGTCCTACGTTTCGCATGTTTTGCAGCCGCCATATTCAGGGGGGAGACTGTAAAAATATTTATAGTAAATGACCCGCTTTTAATCGTTAAAAGTGATTTATTCAAATATGTACTACTCGCGCAAACTACGGACAATTCAGTCTGTATGTTATTTTGTTGTTTAACTGTATGTTATTCGTCAATGGGTTCAAATTATAACATATTCTTCTACCACTGTCTGTAGTTTACGCAAGTAGTACACATTTAAATTAAACACTTTAAAACAGTTTAAAACGCTGGCCGTAGTTAAAAATACTTTTTAAACAAGTTTAACTAAAATATATCGCGTTTGAAACCGTTAAAGTGTTTTATTTTAATATCGTTCTACTTATATACCTATAATAAACGGTTAATGTCTCGTCCGTTGTGAAATACTGACACAGCATAATTAATTGTTTCGCTAACAAATGATTTGTATCAGTGCATTCCTCGGTGAACAATGACGTTTATATGCCTATATGTTGGTCATAAGAAGCAGCGTACCTATATTAAGGCCGATTGAATGAAGGTTTGATTGAGAAGAGTGAGATTTTGTTGAACCGAATTTCAACAAGCCGATCTCACAAATATTTATGTTGATATAAATCTGACAAATTAAAACGGTTGCG